CCCAACCCAGCTTTAGTGCAAGGAAGATCCGGGGTCGCTTCCGGGAGCGGGGGTGTGGCCTCGGCTGATGACTGGCCCTGCGATTGGGTGACCCTGGGAGCCTGCGGCCCCACCTCCAACACTCCGATCCCGCCTCCCTGTCTTACGCCGTCCCCGGAGCGGGGATCCCCTCAAGTTGCTTGGGGTCCCCCGACCCACCAAGTAATACCTTTAAACGCGGGAGGCGAGGGTCAAAAATAGGACGCTACGTGACAGGGAGGGATTCTGAAAGTGGGCACCCATTATAGGACAGTCTGGAAAGACTCCAGATTTTAAGATCCTGGAGCCCCAAAAGTGAGGGGTCATGAGCATGCTGTCCCTCCCCAAATGAGTGTTTGCCCACTCCGTCTTCCACGTAGAGAAACTGCAGCCCTGGAAAAAGGGTTTAGGGTGCTGGAATGACGAGGGCCCAGCCCTTCTCCCAGAAAATAAGGGTGAGAGGCTACGGAAGGGTGGAGTGGAACTGGGGAAGTACCTCTGAACTGGAACCAGTAACTGCAGACATACAGGATGTAAGACGTTCTTTCCTGTATATGGTATCCAAAGGAAGCCTCTATCACCCATTACAGCCACCTCCCACAAATGGCTGACAAATATTTATTGAGTGCCCACTATGTGCCATTCACTGGTGTAGGTGCTGAAGTGGGCGGGAGGGGGCAGGGACCACTCCAGCTGATGATTCCTTGCACTCTCCCCACTTCCCTCAACAAACCATCGCAGGGATGAGGCGCCATTCTTCTGGTCACCACTATATTTAAGAACCTCAAATCTGTCAACCCATAATAAAGCTTATTTGAAGTCTTAATCTTTTTTTGGAAGAGTTGAGTGGAATGGGAAAAAATATGGAAATGACTGCATAGTGTTTTCCGAATTTTGTGCCCTACGGTCAAAGTCATCCCTTTGCATGGAGGCTTTAAGTACAGTTCAAAAACAAGAATAAGTAGATTTGGGGGTACTGTGTTAATTTAGAGTATCATCTGAAGGCAGGAATCTCTCATAGCCCAGGGAGAAACCACACACACACACACACACACACACACACACACACGACCATACATATCCTTTGTCTTCTCCCAAGGGCATTTAGTTATTCCTAAAGCCTCAAATTGAGGAAGATGGAGAGAGCATCTCAAACATTATCCACCTTTCAGAACCATGGTTATACCTCCTTAATGGTGATGGGCCTGAGACATGGAGGCATGAGGCATTTTGGCTTTCAAGCTAATAGTAACTACCATTTATTGAGCATTCAATATATGCCAAACACTTTTATCACATTTAATCCTCACATCAACCCTACAAGGCAGGTGCTGTTAAAATTCCATTTTACTCTTTGAGAAACTGAGGCACAGAGATTTTATTTGCCCAAGATTTCGAGGCATTAAGTGGTAGAACCAGATCTCTTCATCACATTTCATGCTCCAAACCACTCAGCTGTAAACACAATATGGCAGGTTGCCATTTAGGGGTCCTAAAATATCTCAATCCTGCTCCCACCCTGGTGCCAGGCAGCCTGACCAGCATTGAGACCAAGCCAGGGAGGTGGTTGTCTCCCTTTTCTATTTCTCTATCCTTCATTCATGACCAGAGGAAAGTTTCCCCTGACCCTCGTCTCACATTTGGTACATACCTTGTACCCTGAATAGACAGTAAGCACCTGGAGGGCAGGGATAACTATTCAATGCATATTTATTGAATACTTACCATGTGTTGGAGCCACTGCTAGGGGTATATGTATATGTTTGAGGGCCCAACATCCCTGGGTCTCAGTCCTCTGCCTCCCACTGGAACCATGCCCCTCCCAGTCCCCATAAGTCTGTGGGAAGCTGGGACATAGGGGAGGGTCAAAGCCTACATCGGGGTCCTCTTAGGAAAGGGACCTGGGGGCGGGAGGGGGGTTCTGAGGAGTAAAACCACTTCCTGTGTAGCTAGTTCCTGTGTTGACAGAAAGAGCTTAAGGGGAGGAGGGGAGTGGAGAGAACAGGAGCCTGGGGCTGGGGGTCTACTGAGACTCGAGAAGGCCAAGAGTCCTTCCCCATCATGAACGCCCTCCACTACTGCAGCTGGAAGAGCTTTTCACAGTCTCTGTGCTCCCCTGGGGCAAGAGAGGTCGAGCAAGCAGTTTGGGTGGGAAAAGAGAACTGGAGGAAGTTGACAGGGATGGGCGGGGCCCGTGGGGGGGCTGACCAGGAACCCAGCTTCCTGCTCAGTACCCAGGCATCCAGCCCCTGGCTCACCCCCACCCCTTCCAGCCCCCACTCCCCTCAGGAACCCAGGGTTCCAGCCCTCCTCCCAAATCCCTGCTACCCCTCCCCCATCAGTTTCTCCCCCCCAGGGGATGGAGGCCGAGAGACCCCAGGAAGAAGAGGAAGGTGACCAGGTGAGCTGCGCACTGGGTCGGGGAGGCGGACACTGGGAGAAAGGGAGGTGAGAGGACCTGGGGCAGCGACGTAGTAACAGGGGACTCAGGGGACTTAGAAGGGCTTGGGCAAACTGAGGCAGGAACAGAGACACACTGAGAGAGGAAATGGGCTGTTGGCCTAGCCCCCCGCCCACCACACCCCCGCCTAATTGGACCGGATGTCTCCCAGGATCAGGGCCCCCATCAGGATGAGCTTGACTGGCCCCCTGTGAACACCACCGCTCGGCCTTGGCGATCTGCTCCTCCGTCCCCTCCTCCTCCAGGAACCCGCCACACAGGTACCCTCATCCACCCAGGGAGCTCCCTGACCATGGTGCCCACGTCCTTCCTGATCCCATTACCAAGGCCCCCTCCATCGTGGGCCCTCTCCCCACCTCCTCCTGACTCCCCATTACACCCCCTCAGCTCTGACCCCAAGTGCCTAATCACCTTGCACCACCAACCCTCCTGTCTGCCAATTTCTCTGGGTCTCTGAGCCCTACCCCTCCTCTCCCCAGCCCTGGGGCCCCGCTCCGCCTCCCTGCTCTCCCTACAGACTGAGCTCCTTCTGGATTTGGTGGCTGAGGCCCAGTCCCGCCGCCTAGAGGAGCAGAGAGCCACCTTCCACATCCCCCAGAACCTCCCAAGCATAGCCCCAGCCCCACTCCGGCCTCTTGAGGACAGAGAACAGCTCTACAGCACTATCCTCAGTCACCAGGTGAGACACCTCCCCAGAAGGCAAGACTGAGGCTTCCTGGTCCCTTGGCCCTTGTTGTCTTTTGGGCCCTACCCCTCCTTCTCCCCAGCATCTGCCCCCTTGCCAGGCCTAGTCCCCCCGTGCCCATCACAGGTGTCCCCTATACCCCTTCACCAGCCTTGGCTCCTATCAAGGCCTGTTCCTCTTAAAACCTCACCAACACCCTTCCTTCCCTCCACTCCTTCAGTGCCAGCGGATGGAAGCCCAGCGGTCAGAGCCTCCCCTACCCCCAGGGGGACAGGAGCTCCTGGAGTTGCTGCTGAGAGTTCAGGGTGGGGGTCGAATGGAGGAGCAAAGGTCCCGGCCCCCCACACATACCTGCTGAGACTTCAGCCCGCCCCTACCAGCCACTCCGCACTCCCGGGGCTCAAAGCTGGGCAGCCCACTGCATGCCCTCAACTCCTGCTTGGCAGGGGCACCAGAGACTGGAGGCCCCAGGAGAAATCTCAATATTCATCACCCTCATCCACCTTTCCTGGGAATGGAGGGGGTGAAAGTCCTCAAACCCTGGGCATAGTCAAAGTAGGATGTCATTTAACTCCCTCCCCCAGTATGTAGGAGCTTGAAGCAGTGAAAGGATCCCAGCCACTGAGGGACACCCCACCCCCTCCTCTGATCCCAAGTAGTGGCAGTAAGTCCTGAGCTGTGGAGACACCCCCAGTAGTCTAGCCACTAGGCAGAATCTGAGGGCTCAGGCCTCCATCTCCCAAGAAAAGGCAAATCTCCCAAGGTTAGTGCCTGACAGACAGTTCCACCCTCCTTCTCAATAAGAAGAGAGAGGGCATTGCAAAGAGATAGATCATTCCCCCACCCCACCACCAGCACCCCCAGCCCCAGGACTGAGGGGCCTACAGGCTGTGAATGGACACTTAGCACTGCCCCCCACAACCTCCCCACTGCTGCTCTGAGTCTGATGTTTTGGTTGTATGAATAAATGTAATTCTCCTCCAAACTGAAGAAGACTGGTGTTTGGGGCTGCGGGGGGGGGGGGGCCGCGAGGGAAGGCGGGAGGAAGGTGAGGCCAGAGGCCGCCTCTCTCCCTTGTCTGGCGAGAGGCCAGCTCCCCTCCCTGGCTGGTTAATTACTGGCTCATTAAGCAACGGCTGGAGACCTCCCTAATTATACCCCCCTAGCCCCCCTCTCCTGGTTTTAATTAAGTAGAACAGGGAGGGGAGTCATTAGGACAAGAAATATGAACTGAGCTGTCTGTGAACCCAGGCATTCTAGCGGCCAGAGCCCACAACACCTAGATCCCTAATTCGGAACCCAGGTGGCGGCCCCCTCGCCCAACAGGCCCCGCTTCCCAGGCCGACGACGTGCAGCCCCGGGGCCTTCGCGTATTTTCCCCGAAGGTCTAGTCTCCTCCCCTCGTCCCCTCTTCCCTCTCCCCTCCTCCACTCGGTCCCAGTTCCTCTGTTTCTGTGTGTCTCTCTCCGCCCCCAGCTCCTCCCTGTTCCTCCTCTCTTCTCCCCTCCTCTTCCTCCCCGGCTCCCCTCCCCCAGCCTCCCTCCCTCGCTCCCCCCCTTCTCCCTCCTCCCTCCTCCCTCTCTCTCTCTCTCTCACACACACCCCCGCTTGGGCCTCCTCTCTCTCTCCGGCTCCATTTTCTCCGCCGCCGGGGGCCGGGGTCTCCTGTGGGGGGCCCAGCCGGTACCCCAGGTCTCCCTTCAGGGCCAGGGTGAACCTCCGGGGGAGTCGGGAGGGGGAAACGGGTGGGGGTTGGGGCGGAGGGACCAGCGGCCCTACCGAGTTTGGGGGGGGGGAAGTAACCAGGCGGGGGTAGGGGCGGAGCAGGGAGGGGGCCTCAGGGCCCCCCCCCAAACTATGGACGAGCGGCTGCTGGGGCCGCCCCCTCCAGGCGGGGGCCGGGGGGGCCTGGGATTGGTGGGTGGGGAGCCTGGGGGCCCTGGCGAGCCTCCCGGCGGCGGAGACCCCGGTGGGGGTAGCGGGGGGGTCCCGGGAGGCCGAGGGAAGCAAGACATCGGGGACATTCTGCAGCAGATAATGACCATCACCGACCAGAGCCTGGACGAGGCCCAGGCCAAGTGAGTGCCCCCACCCCGGGACCCTACACAGACCCAGCTGAAGCCCCATTCACAAGCTCTGAATCTTCTGGGAGTCCCCACCCCCACCCCCCCACTCCAGGACCCTCTCCAGGATCCTACAGCTCTCTTCTCTCCTTACTCCTGGGAGCCTCAAGATAAGCCATCCCTCTCAAACCTCCCTTCACCACCAGACCCTGAAACCTTCAAAGAGGGGAGCCCAGGGTGGTCTCACTGCCCCCCCACCTTTCACTGACACTCCCCCCCCACATACTCCCCTGGAACATCCTTCCACCTCCAGAGCCAGGTTCTGGCTCTCAGACTAAGAAACTGCTATGCTGTCTTCTTAACTCTCCACCCAGCCCACCCCCATCCTTTCCAGCCCTCAGCCCTCCCCAAAGCTCCTACCACTCCTCTCCACCATGGCCAGGCCTCCAAGGGTCCTCACCCAGCCCTTGGCCCCTGCTCAGCCAGAAACTAGGAGTATCAGAGCCTCCTGCCTTGCTCAGTCCCAGGACCCTCCATACACCTCTGTACTGAACTCCCCCGCCCCCTCTCTGGCACCTCAAACTCTGACCCTTCTCACAATCTCCATCTCTTTTCCTCTGAAATCTACCTAGTCACCCTCGTGTCGGCAGTCACCCCCAAATTCCCCTTCTATCCCCCTCTAGGCCCAGTTCCCACAGCCCCGTGCGTGCCCCCGGTGCCTTTATCTTGCTGCCTGCGCCTTCCCTCCATCTTCCTAAAGCCAAGCAGCTTCCCCACATCTCCACATCCCAGGAGCTGATCTCTCCCCAAGAACCCCCCCAACTCTGTCCTGTCCCCACCCCCATTTTCTACCTCCCTTCTTGTTCCCAGGCTTCCCCTCACCCTCATGGTCCCCCCCACCCTGCCCTGCCTCTGTTCCTGTAGCTCCTCAACTGTTCTTTCCCCTTCCTCCCTAGGAAACACGCCCTCAACTGCCACCGCATGAAGCCTGCTCTCTTTAGTGTCCTGTGTGAAATCAAGGAGAAAACCGGTATGTGAGTCCCCCCGATTCCTCACCTCTGGGGACTGAACCCTGTTCTTTCTAGGACTCAGGCCAAGAGTTTGACATCTTGGGGCCCTGAGGACAGTAGGGGTTAGGGAAGTTGCTAAGGGGAATTGGGGAGGGAACCGAAGCCTGGAAACTTGGGTCTCCAGGAGACAGCAGGAGGGCTGAGCGCTGGCTGTGGGTTCCCTGAGTCCCTAAGTTCACTTGCCTGCACGCTAGGCCTCAGCATTCGAAGCTCCCAAGAGGAGGAGCCGGTGGACCCACAGCTGATGCGCCTGGACAACATGCTTCTGGCGGAGGGTGTGGCTGGGCCTGAGAAGGGGGGGGGCTCAGCGGCAGCAGCTGCAGCCGCGGCAGCCTCCGGGGGCGGCGTGTCCCCTGACAACTCCATCGAACACTCCGACTATCGCAGCAAACTTGCCCAGATCCGCCACATCTACCACTCGGAGCTGGAGAAGTATGAGCAGGTGAGGAGACCAGGCTGGAGTGGGTGAGAGGAGAGGCTCTTGTGGGGCATCCCCAGGCCAGAGGGCCCCCCCTCACAGCCCACCGGCCCCCGCTGCAGGCATGTAACGAGTTCACGACCCATGTCATGAACCTGCTGAGGGAGCAGAGCCGCACTCGGCCTGTGGCACCCAAGGAGATGGAGCGCATGGTGAGCATCATCCATCGAAAGTTCAGCGCCATCCAGATGCAGCTCAAGCAGAGCACCTGTGAGGCTGTCATGATCCTGCGTTCCCGTTTCTTGGATGCGAGGTGGGGCTCCTTCCCGCTCTTCTCCAAGCCTCTGGGCCACCATGTTACACAACATGGTACTCCGTGGCAGGGGCACCCTCTAGAGCGGTGCAAGATGGAGGCCCTGCCAGGGCAGCCGGCCTCCTCACCACCAATCTCCCTCCTCTGCAGACGAAAACGCCGCAACTTCAGCAAACAGGCTACTGAGGTCCTCAACGAGTATTTCTACTCCCACCTGAGTAATCCATATCCTAGCGAGGAGGCTAAGGAGGAGCTTGCCAAGAAGTGTGGAATCACTGTCTCTCAGGTATTGGGGAGGCTTGGGGTGGGGGAGCAGTTTTCAGGTTAAAAGCTCTCTGATTCTACTGACCAAGGGGCTTACAGGGAGAAAGGTCTGCACCCGACCCTCCTTTCTGCTCCACACCCCACAGGTCTCCAACTGGTTTGGCAACAAGCGGATTCGCTATAAGAAAAATATTGGAAAGTTCCAAGAGGAGGCAAACATCTATGCCGTCAAGACCGCCGTGTCAGTCACCCAGGGGGGCCACAGCCGCACCAGCTCCCCGACACCCCCTTCCTCTGCAGGTGGACCCCCGCTGCCGTCCTGGCTGGCTATCTTGCACACTTCCTGCCTTTGTCCGCACTTCCTATCTAGGCAGGATCACAGCAGAGAGTGGGCCTTTTGGGGTGAGAGGGACCTAGCTGAGATGGGGTGGAGATGTCAGGGGACAAAGGGCACCCCAGCGAAGTTACTTCTGCCTGTCTTCCAGCAAGTGGCCAGGGAGGGAGGGGGAGGCCCAGACACGGCCTGCTCCTCTGAGTGTTGCAATGTCTTAGGGATAAGTTGCTTACAGTGGCACATCCCAGAACTAGTTCAGAGGGCTTTTTGGAAACAGAACTGTGGTGAGTTTCCTGTCTGCCATCACAGGCTCTGTTAGACTCTTCCCTAATTCCCCTCTCTGCTCCCCAAGGCTCTGGCGGCTCTTTCAATCTCTCAGGATCCGGAGACATGTTTCTGGGGATGCCCGGGCTCAACGGAGATTCCTACTCTGCTTCCCAGGTCAGGTGGCCCACCTCCCCTTAAGCAGGGCTTTCCCAAACTTGGTTTCCCTCTCTTCAGAGTACTAGACTCCTCACTGTGCCATGCCCTTCTTTGCTGCCTGCAGGTGGAATCACTCCGACACTCAATGGGGCCAGGGGGCTACGGGGATAACCTTGGGGGAGGCCAGATGTACAGCCCTCGGGAAATGAGGGTGAGTGGACACCCGACGCTCCCTTTGTCCACCTCTCACCTGGACAGGATGGCCTTTCCCCTGGCAGCGCTCTCTCCCACACCGGACTGCCCTGCCCCAACCGACTCTCTCTTTTTCCAGGCAAATGGTGGCTGGCAGGAGGCCGTCACCCCGTCCTCAGTGACCTCTCCCACAGAGGGACCAGGGAGCGTTCACTCTGACACTTCCAACTGATCTTGCCCCTCAGGGCCACAGGGGTGGGGGCCCACAAGGCAACTCTTGAAGAGGACGCAGGCATCCAGAGGACAAATCCCAGACACAGGAGAAGCACAAGACAAGAGAAGGGCCAATGGGGTCATCCCTTCCCCAACCAGACTCTCCAGTGCTGGGGGTGCTGACTCCGTGGCAGGGAGAATGGGGGCCCCTGAGGGGAGAGTGGGGTCTCTCTCCCCTTTTCCTTTTTTCAGTCTTTTTTTCCTCTCCCTCTCACACACAAACCACACACCGAGAACATGTTGTTCAGATCGCTTTCCCTTTGTTCTACCTGCCATACTGTATTCCGTTTCTGTCTCTTTCTCTGGGCTCCCCTACTGCCCCTCCCCACCCCACTTATCTACTCTGGAATCTGTGGAGAAGCCAGCCCTGCCTGACCAGAGATGCCAAAACTGGGGACACAGCTTCTGGACAGAGGACATGGGCCATGAACCCTGTGCCTCCCCACCCCCTGCCCCTCCAGATGGCTTTATTACCTCATACGCAGCTCATCTTAAACCAATAGAATCGCTCGGTGGACGAGAGTGTCTGACTCAGATATCTACCTCGGAGGGAGTTTCTGCTACTTTAGGGAATTGTTGACTGGGCTTTGGGGTTGATTGTTTTTTGTTGTTTTTTTTTTTTTAAGGAAAGAAACGAAACCCTGGGATCCATTTGTACTTTATAAATTTTTTGTTGCTGTTATCGGTTCTTAATTTTTAGTTTGGGGAAGTAGATGTTTTTATAAATATATTGTTGTTTTTTTTTTTTAATTTCTTGCTTTCTCATGTTAGGGGTGATAGCCAAAGGGGTCATAAGAGAAAGGGGAACAAACTTGTAAAGAGGCCCACCTGGCTCCAGTCCTGTCCATCAGAAAGTGTGTTTAGCAGGGCACCAAGCCTGCCCCCCTCCCCCCGAAATCACTTACGTGTTCTTTGCTTGTAAGATCACTTAAGTGTTCTTTGCTTATGCAGGCAGCTCTCTGCTGCGTTTGGTGTGGAGGTAGTCAGGGGCTTGCTCTGCTGACCTATCCCCCTCACCCTACACACACACGCACACAAACACACACAACCCTTGGGCAGGGCTGGACTCAGTAATTTTGAGGAAGTGCCACCTTCCTGTGAGTGACACGTCTTTAAATCTTTTTAAACTACTATTTGCAGATTGGAGGAGGAAGAATGGGAAAGGGGTTATTGCCAAATATGTTAAATGTGGGTTGGGTTGCTTGTATATGTATCTCCCTCAATTTCCCCAAAAATAAGGCATTTTTTTTTTTCTCAGTCCAAAATCAAGAGGGTGGGGAGACAGAGGAGGGAGGTTGCAAAAAGCCAGGTATGGGGGAAAGTAAAATCACCAATGTCCCATCCTTGGCCAGAACCCCACCGTCTGAGCCCCTCAAACATCCTCAGGATTTTATAAGACTGTCATAGTGGGGAACCTCTCCTGTCAAAGGTCCAGACAGGACTGGAGGGGAGCAGATTAGATGTGTGATGGGTGGTGGGTGGGAGGCATGGGCCAGGGGCAGTTCTCTCCTCACTTGTAAACTTGGTAGTTTCACAGAAAAGAAAAAAAAAAAAAATTCAGTTTTAAATAAAGAAATTTCTTTTTTCCCTGGGTTTAGTGGAGCATTATTTTCAAAAACATGAGAAACCCCAGAATAAAATCTTTCTCTCATAAAGCCCCAAACAGGTGTTTCCCCCAACTCCTCCCAGCCTTGCCCTCACCACCCAGGCCCCAGGGTTCATCCGAAACCCTCCCCAAGGACAACAGCCAGGCCTGAACCCTGTTGCCCAACCTGACCTAAGCAATATGGGGCTCCAGTCGTCCACCAGGCAAGCCCTCAGTGGACTGACGGAATGAGTTGGGGGTCCTGAGTAATGACAGATCCTAGGAGGTCCACTCCCCGCCCCCATGGATGTGGCTGTGCCCAGAGACTGGCAGTGCCTAAGGGTGGGGTGATAATTGTTTCTCCTCGTACCTGAAGGACTCTTGTCCAAGAAGCATGAATTCCTAGCATTCCCTGTGGCGGGACAGGATGGGAAGATGGGGGTAGGGGAGAGGGTGCAAGCCCCACCTAGGGCTAGGGCGGTGGCCACAGCAGTGACGGGCAGACAGAGCCAGGAGCCTGGGAAGGAAGCAGGATGGCAGCGGCGGGAGCCTGGGTGCTGGTCCTCAGTCTGTGGGGTGAGCCACTCCCCCTCCAACACACCAATCCTCCCCACAGAAAGCAATTCATCCCCCTCCCCAAATCTGCCCAGAACTTTCCTGGAACCCAGGCGCTGCTTTTCAAGCTCCCTCCCCCATCTTGTCCTAGTTTTCTTAGCCCCCCCCTTTCCCTCCTACTCCTCCACCATTGTACTGTCTCCCAGGAGCAGCAGTAGGCAACCGAAACATCACAGCCCGGATTGGGAAGCCACTGGTGCTGAACTGTAGGGGGGCCCCCAAGAAACCACCCCAACAGCTGGAATGGAAACTGGTAAGCAGGGCTCCTGCCACAGCCTCCCCACTCCCAGAGACCAGGGATGATTCGCTTCCCCACCTCCCTGTCTCATGAGTCCTTTCCCAAAGGACTTGCACTGTTCAGGCCCCTCTCCTCTGTCCCCAGAACACAGGTCGGACAGAAGCTTGGAAGGTCCTGTCTCCCCAGGGAAGCTCCTGGGATAGCGTAGCTCGAGTGCTCCCCAATGGCTCCCTCCTCCTGCCGGCAGTAGGGATCCAGGATGAGGGGACTTTCCGGTGCCGGGCAACAAGCAGGAATGGAAAGGAGACGAGGTCTGCCTACCAAGTCCAAGTCTACCGTAAGAGTTCCAGGGCCTTCTCCATGGTCCACCTCTCATCTAAGGAAAAGCCTTCAACCCCAGCCCTTGACTCCTTGGCCCTGGTGTGTGAGAACCTGTGACTTCAGCTGCCCCAGATCCCACACCCATGCGTGAGAGTCTTCAAAGCTGCAGCCTCTGACTGAAATTTTCCCTCCTTCAGAGATTCCGGGGAAGCCAGAAATTGTCGATCCTGCCTCTGAACTCATGGCTGGTGTCCCCAATAAGGTAGTGGAAGAAAAGGGGGGTAGTAGAAAGCAGTCCTGAGAAGAGGAAGGGGGTGTAAGGGGTGTGTGTGTGTGTGTGTGTGTGTGTGGTCTCTTACTTTCAAAGATGATGAAGGTCACTCTTTCCCCAGGTGGGGACATGTGTGTCCGAGGGGGGCTATCCTGCAGGGACTCTTAACTGGCACTCAGACGGAAAACCCCTCATACCTGATGGCAAAGGTAAGTCCCAAAGTCCCCCCTCCCAGCTGCTTTCTTTCTGATCCCTCTCCCACACCCACCCCGGGATATCTTGCCTTGTCCTCCCCACCACCATAGGAGTGTCTGTGCAGGAAGAGACCAGGAGACACCCTGAGACAGGGCTTTTCACACTCCAGTCGGAGTTGATGGTGACCCCAGCCTGGGGAGGAGCTCTCCACCCCACCTTCTCCTGTAGCTTCAGCCCTGGACTTCCCCGGCGTCGAGCCCTACACACAGCCCCCATCCAGCTCAGAGTCTGGGGTGAGTGGAGGCCCTCAGAGAGGGAAGAGTTAAGCCCATGGCCACTGAGACCACACACAGGTATAACTCTCAACTTCATGCCCTCTGCCCCAGAGCCTGTGCCTCCGGAGGTCCAAGTGATGGTACAGCCAGAAGGTGGGAAAGTAGTTCCCGGTGGTACCGTGACCCTGACCTGTGAAACCCCTACCCAGTCCTCCCTTCAAATCCACTGGATCAAGGATGTGAGTGACTTGGAGAGGGGGCTGGGAAGTAGACAGACACATCACTGGCAACTAGGACAGGAGGCCCATGGAGAGGCAGGCAAGGAGCTGGGAAAGCCGACCGAATATCTGAGGATGTGAAGACAAAGACAGGAGTATGGGATGTGTGGAGATGTTGTACTAGTCTCCTGTCCCCCTGCTCCCCCCAGGGCATACCCCTGCACCTTCCCCCCAGCCCTGTGCTGCTCCTGCATGAGGTGCAGCGTGAGGACCAGGGAACCTACAGCTGCGTCGCCACCCATCCCAGTCATGGGCCCCAGGAAAGCCCTGCTGTCCGTGTCGTCATCGGTGAGGAGACCTCTCTCCAAATCCCAGGGATCCTGGGGCTGGGTTAAGGGACAGTGTAGACTTCAGTTCGCTAGCCCATCCTGGCCCTGTCCCCAAGAACCACCGCACCCCTCCCCAGTGCACCCCATCCAGGCCTCCTCTGTCCCACCCAAACCCTCCCAAGAGAGCGGCCCAGCCTGTCCCCTCTCTCCTCTGAACTGAAGAAAGGGAAAGACTCCATCAGGGCTCCCACTAAATAGACTTCTCTCAAACTGAGACCTTCCCTTCTAACTTGCTCTGACTTTGTCTTTCAGAAGCAGAGGAGGGGCCGATCGCAGGTGAGGGGTTGGAAGCAGATGGCCCCAACGTGACTGGGGGATGGATGGTCAACAAGAAAGGAATGGTGAGTGGTGGGGGCCCTCGCTTCTCCCCATCTCTCTACAGGCTCTGTGGAAGGGCAGGAACTGGGAACTGTAGCCCTCGTCCTGGGGATCCTGGGAGGCCTGGGGATAGCCGTCCTGCTCATTGGGGCCATCATGTGGCGAAGACAGCGACGTCGAAGAGAGAAGAGGTGAGTGGAGAAAGCCAAACACCTCAGACTTGGGACCTCCAGGCAGCAAGGAGGGGTGTGGGGGAGGAATGATGGAGTGCTAGAAACCATGTGCAGAATTCTCCCCAATCCCCCTCCCCAGGAAGGCCTCAGAAAACCAGGAGGAGGAGGAGGAGCGTGCAGAGCTGAATCAGCCAGAGGAGCCAGAAGCAGCCGAGAGCCGTGCAGCAGGGCCTTGAGAGGCGCACAGCTAGACCCCATCTATCAGCCCCCTTTTCTCTTCCCCCTGCTCCGTTCTGGCCCCAGAGCAGTTCTCCCCTGTATAACCTGTATCCCACCTCACCAAACTTGCTTCCACAACCAGAGCCTCCCATAGCGATAAGTAAACACCTCACCCGTTTGCTCTCGTGCACGTGTGTGTGTGTGTGTGTGTGTGTGTGAGAGACACCCTCACCCCCTGAATTCTTGAGAGCCTTGAAGAAGAGAGGCTCACCCTCACACCTCCCCACACCACACAGATATTTACTCAAGTTGGGGAGAAGATGCTCCTGTCCTGGAAGGAAGGAGGTAAGGACAAAGGTGGGCAGAGCTCCCATCGATATATCTCACCTTGTTTATTGAATTTATAATAAAGGAGGTAGTGAGGGGAAGAAAGCACTTAGAGTCAGAACCCATATTAGACATTGGGGAGAGAGAAATTAAGTTAAATCAACATGGGGAAAGTAGGGGAGAGTCAGAGGGAGCCTTGCCCATCTTTCAACATCAAATCAATAAATGTGGGGGAAAGCAAAGGATCAGGAGAGAGAAGAAACAGACACTCTCTTTTGTCTGTCCTCCTGTCCCAGAGTTGGGAGTTATGACGCTACTCAGTGAGTTCAGAGCAGAAGGTTCTCCTATACTCTGCACAGATGTCACTCCTCCCCACACCCTCCTAGAAAGTGGCCAGGGTTGGCCTTAGCCAACAGAAATGGAGGAGTTGGGGAGGAGGGGCCAGGAGTAAGGAAGGGTCAGCAAGGACCCCCAATACTGATTCTCCTCTGGCTGGAGGTGGGCAGGAGGGAGACAAAGATCAAATACTGAGCAGCCAGAAAAAGAAGAAGATGGCGAGAAACAGGAAGAGGGAGTCCTGCCAGCTGGAGGCCGGGTGACC